TTTTGTCTCCATTGTATGCTCTTGCCTCCTTCATCAAATATTAATTGAGCATAATGGCTTGGGTCGATTTCTGGGTTCTATGTTCGGTTCCATTGGTCTATATGTCTGTTCTTGTGCCAGTACCAGGAAGCTTTGAGAACAGTGGCTTTGCAATATAGCTTGATATCTGGTATTGTGATCCCTCCAACTTTGTTCTTCATTCTTGGGATTGCTGCAGCTATTCGGGGCCTTTTTTTTATTCCATATAAATATTTTTGAGAGTTTGTTCTAGGCCTGTGAAATATGCCATTGGTATCTTAATGGGGATTGCATTGAATCTATAGATTGCTTTGGGTAGTATGGACATTTTAATGATGTTTATTCTACCAATCCATGGACACATTATATTCTGCCATTTGTTTATGCCTTCCTCCAGCTCTTTTTTCAACATCCTGTAGTTTTCCAAGTACAGGTCTTTCACCTCCTTAGTTAAGTTTATTCCTGGGTATCTTAATTTTTTTTGTTGAAATGGTAAATTGGATTATTGTTTTTAGTTTCTCCCTCTGTGAGTTCACTATTGGTGTATAAAAAAGCCATAGGATTTTTAGGGTTAATTTTGTATCCTACTACATTGCCGAATTCATTTATTAAATCTAGTAGTTTTTTGATGGAGTCTTTAGGGTTTTTTATGTACAGTATATGCCATCTGCAAATAACAACGGTTTTACTTCTTCTTTTCCAACTTGGATGCCTTTTTCTTCTTCTTGTCTGATCGCTATGGCTAGCACTTCCAGTACTATGTCGAACAGGAGTGATGAAAGTGGGCATCCTGTCTTGTTCCTGTTCTTAGGGGAAATGGTTTTAGTTTTTGCCCATTGAGTATGATGTTGGCTGTAGGTTTGTCATATATGGCCTTTATTGTGTTGAGATATGTTCCCTCTATTCCCACTTTGCTGAGTTTTTATCAAAAATGGGTGTTAGAGACAACCAAGATGGTGGCATAGCTAAACACCTGAACTTGCTGCCACGCACAACCACATTAAAAATACAACTAAAAGACAAAACGAATATCATTCAGAATCACGGGAAGGCTGGCTGAGTGGAAATACTACAACTAGAAGGAACGAGAAAAGCGCATTGAGTCCGGTAGGAGGTGCAGAGGTGTGGAAGTGTGGAGGTACGGAGGCGCGCAGAAGGGGCTGGCAGCTGGGTATGCTGTTGTCTTTTTCAGCCGGGAGGGAGATACAAGCTCCCGACTCCTCTGAACTCCAGCTCTGGGCAAGAATTTGGGGACCCAGACTCATACGGAGAGAAACTGTACTGTCTGGCATAGGGCCGGAGCATGAGGGCAGCTTTCTTGCAGAGGTGCTTGCAGCGTTTATTGTTCCCGCATAGGGCCATGAGACACAGAGACTCAGGGACCTATCCGGGGGAAGGCCATTGCTGTTTGCATCGCCCCGTGATTCCCTGAGACCACGTCCCACCCAATTTACAACCCCACCCAAGCTGTGCACAGAGGTTTTTGCATACTAATGGCCTGGCCTTTCTCCGCCTAAAAACCTGTCAAACTGTAGCTGGGTCAGAGAACCACAGAGTTTCCAAAAGAAGGCCTAAGGTATTGGTTCTCAACCTTGGCTAATGTTGTGGCCTCACCCCATAACAAAGAAACAGAATTTCCAGAGGATGAGGCCCAGAAATCAGGATTTTAAAAAGATTCCCAGGTGATTCTAATGTGCAGCCAAGGTTGAGAACCACTGACCTTGATGAAGCCTTCCTTGTACCTGAGATTGGGTTGGATCCCCCCCTTTATCCCCTTCATAACAGCCTTTAATTTGCCTGCAAACTACTAACAGGTTCGTGTGATTATTTGATATATCTTTCTCAGTAGACAATAAAGGTCAATAGAACAAGAACTATGCCTTTTTTTCTCTTACATTCTCCCATATTCAAAGCAGAGTGAGTACCTGGCCCAAACATCACATCTTAAGATGAATTCCAACTTTATAATAATAATGCTATTGGTTGCAAGAATGACAGCTAACATTTACTGAGTGCCCATCTGCCAGGCACCATGCAAAGCTGCCCCATAATGTCTCCAGCACAGAAGTTCTCCCATTGACAACTGGTCCTCACAGCCAATTGACCTGGAGGTCAATTCCTCCCAGTGACAACACC